CCTTCCCCTTGCATCCCACCGCCCCCCTTCACCTCCGCCCCTCCCCTCTGAACCCAGCGCACCGATCGGCTCATGACGGTGCATGCCCCCCAACCGGCCATGTCCCTGCCCTCCCCAAGAGAGCACATAAGCTTCAGCAGCATAGCGGACGGCCCTGCATCGTCGCAGAATGTTGCGGGGGGCTCCCACGGACACAAGCCAGGTCCGTCAACCTCGATGGCGGCCCCACAGTCGTCGGCAATGAGCGCAACCGCGTCTGCGTCATCGGCCAGCTCGGTCCGTCGTCCATCGACGACATCTGCGACCGAGGGCCGCCCGGCACACGCCTCGTCGTCTTACGCCGACCCCCACGCGGGCCCCTCGTCCCAGCCTACGTCGAACCACACGTCGTCGACCGGCCTGCACTCGTCCAACCCTCCGTCAGCGTCTGCTTCCAAGAACAACAGCTTCATCGGTGGCGTGCTGTCCCGGAGAGGGTCAACGCGTGATCGTCCAGAGCGAGCAGAGGTCTCTCCCGCTATGACGAGCTCGACTAGGACGGCTGGAGGAAGGTCGCGCGCCGACAGCTCAGACGGACGGCGATCTCCTACAGAATCGGAAGTGTAAGTGAAACCCCGCTTGTTCCCCTGTGTGTGCGGGCGTGTATGTGCTCGACGACCGTGTTGCTCGCTACCGCGAAACGCACCCGTTATTCTGCCCCAACGATACGGTATCCTTGCGGGCCTCGCACCTCGTACTACGGCCTACGGGTTCTTGCACCTCATCATGCAGACAATCCTCTTCCCTCCAATGAGTCGACATGCTGATCCCTCGTAGCATCGAAACGCAGACACTCAACATGGAACGCGACCCCGAGACGGGCCGGAAGCTCATCAATCAGTACTTGGTGAGTCGTCGTTATCTATGCTTTCCTCCAGCGTGACCCATGCTGACTGTTCTCCAAGGTTCTCGACGAGATTGGTCACGGCACGCACGGACGCGTTCGCTTGGGCCGCGACATGTCGGTTGATGCGTCTCAGGACGAGCTGGAGAACGATTTGGCCACTGGCAAAGGCCCGTTCTACGCCATTAAGATTGTCGACCGCAATGGCAAGAAGCGTTTGCCACCATTCGGAAGGCGCGGACGGGAGGGCGCAAAGCTCGTCGCGGAGAACGAGATGCGCAAAGAGATCGCCATCCTGAAGAAGCTGCACCACCCGAACGTCGTCGCCCTCAAGGAGATCATCGACGACCCAGACTCGAAGCAGGTCTACATGATTCTCGAGTACTGCCAGGGTGGCGAAGTTCGATGGAAGCAAGACAACCGTCCAACGCTTACTATCGCCGAGACGCGAAAGATCTTCCGCGACACACTGCTTGGTCTTGAATACCGTACGTGCCCTCTGAGTCGCTTTCGATGTTGCCTTCACCGCCCTTCAGGTTCCCCCAGCTGACACAATCGCAGTGCATCACCAGGGCGTTATTCACCGAGATATCAAGCCGAGCAACCTGCTGTGCTCCGGTGACGTCGTCAAGATCTCAGACTTTGGCTGCTCGCACTTCTCCGAGGCGCTGTACGCGGCCGACGGCGGAGGCTATGTCGACGACATTGAGCTCGCCAAGACCGCCGGCAGCCCGGCATTCTTCGCTCCAGAAATGTGTTACTCCGAGATCCCGGACGAGCCAACGCCAACGCCCGGCGCGACGTCTGACCAGAAGGTTCCTACTTTCACTGTCCGACCGCCGTCTACGACCCAGGAAGACGCCCCTACGGCAACAAGGGGCTCGTCGATCTACGACCCGCGGCTCTCGGTCACTCGATCGCAATCCACCGCGACGATCCCGAATCGCCAGCGACGTCCAATCACGAACGCGATCGACGTGTGGGCTTTTGGTGTCACGCTCTACTGCCTGCTCTTTGGCAAAACGCCCTTTGACGCCCAGAACGAGTACCTGCTCATGCAGGTCATTCCGACGGCCGAGTATGAGATTCCCGCCACCATGGGCAAGGAGCAGGTTCCGACGTCCGGACCAGAGTCGACGGAGGAGGTGCGCGAAGCTTTGGATCTGCTGTCGCGGCTGTTGGAGAAGGACGCCGGCCAGCGCATTACCCTAGACCAGGCTAAACGTCACCCCTTCGCCCTCCGCGGCATGAAGGACCCCCAAGGCTGGCTTAACCGCACCTCGATCCACGACCAGACTTGCGTCACGGTCACCAACGAGGAGGTCGCCGCGGCTGTCACACGAGGCAACGGCATCCGCGACAAGCTTAAGCGCGGCCTGTCCAAGCTTTCGAACCGCCTTGGTTTCCACCGCAACCGGAGCCGCAGCGTGACCGGCAGCGACAATGCCGATCAGTCAGCGGCGTCCTCTGCTTCGGAGACTCCCAACACTCGCCGCGTCGCTTCTGGAGACTCGATTCCCAGCACGGCTTCTGGACCTAGCCTTGGACGAAGGTTATCTATCCTCCACCGCAACCCATCGAACCGCGCAGCTACTAGTGCCAGTGCGCCTGGTTCGGGCGACGAGTCGTCGCGACCGGTCGGTCTCATTGCTTCGCAGCTGGGCGCATCCCAGTCTGCTGATCGCAGCCCGTCCAGCACGACGCAGCCGGTGCACAGCGAAGAGTTCCTGCGTCAGCCCTCGTCTCAGTCTGTCGACAATACGCCCAGGCAGATGAGGTCGATCCAGTCGCTCGAGAAGCTGCAATCCGCCTCCACCGCTTCCAATTATGGCCGCCGACGCTCGTTAGTCGAGCCCGAGATGATGCTCCGCTCAAGATCCGCTAGTAACGCATCTTCGTCAGCAGGATCCATACTCGGCGCCATTATGGGTCGCACGGCCCAGATCACCAAGCAGCGTTCGCTCCGCGGCACTGGTCTGTCGACGATGCGGTCTAAGAGCCAGCACGACTATGGCAGCCAGGACGACCACGATAACGTCTTTGGGTCCTCGATCGACTCGCACGCTACCGAAGGACGCAGCGAGCTGCTCCGCGGACGAAGCTTTGACGAGTCTGCGCGCCGCCAGAGCTTGGACACGTTCGAGTCGGGTTCGCCGTCATCTCGAGGCAGCCACGGCTTCCACAGCCCTGAGCGGTTATCCGGCTGGGACCAGCGGTTCCTGCAGGACCAGGGTATGCCTCTGCGTCGCGGCTCGAACCTGAGTGACCGCCCTGTCATGGAGATTGACGACGAAGACCTCGACTGGGACGTGGACGTGCCTGACTCGGACGAGGAGGACTCGTCCTCCAGTGATGGCTTACCCAAGGGACACGGTCTCTCGTCAGCACCCGCCGACTGGAACCTGTCCCACTGCCTCAGCGATCTCGACAAGCAAGCTGCGCGCCGTACGGGCCCCACTTCGCCCACTCGTGCCAGTGCTGGTGGAGCCCACTCTCCAGTGCGCACAGGCACCGCACAGTCCCTCCTTCGTCCTGGCGGCGGACTCGACATGAACCGACTCGGCCGACCTCCCAGCTCGTACTCCTACCGCCCCCGACCTTCGCCGTTAGTTAACGACACGGCTGCCGGTGTCTCCTCGGGTGAATCCAGCCCAAGCGGAAACCGCACCACGCCCAATGCTAGCTCGGCGCCGTTACTGGCGGCGAGCACGAACACGGCGCCTTCGGGAGGCATGGAGATCCTCAATGGCCAGACGACTCAGAAGGGCCAGTCTAACGGCAATGGTCACCTCTCGGCTCTCGCCGGCTCGGCAGTCGCGGCGGACTCTAACACGGTCGACGACCGCTTCGCCGACGCGGACGAAGATTGCGGGCTGGTGCTCGGGCGACGACGCAAGTCGAGCGCACTGTCGCGAGGGAATAGCGTTCGCTCGCGCGCTGGCCAGATCCACGCCGCCCAGGCTGCTCACCAGGCCGCCAACACGACCGTCGCCAGCGCTGCCTCGCGCCTCAACGCCGCCGTTAACTCTGAGAGCACGACGAGCCTGGGCAGCCTCAATACCCACTCGCTGCCAGGCAGCGTGCCTTCCCTCTCGCCTGGTTCGTCGCCCACGCGCGCCTCTGCGCTCGCAGCGCAGCAGGAAGAGCCGGCGGGCTCGATCCTCAGCGACGTCCCAGGACTCCACAGCCCGCAGGACCTGCCCGTGACGCCCAAGGCTAACAGCCCGCGGGACGAGCGAGGGCCGGTCCTGTCCGCTTCGAACAGCAAGGCATATCTGCCACGGCCGAGGATCTCGTCGGGGGATAGTATCGCGGAATAGATAGAGCACCCATTCGCTCACACTTCACACACCTGCACCTGCACCTGCACCTGGACCAGGGACACTACACAGCATACGACACGGATCTGCACCCCCGTGGCTAGTGACTATTCCTTCACGCATTTTACAACGTTGTATTAGAGTGTATGTTATACGATACAATCCATCTGCTTGCTATCTGATACGGAGGCTGGTTAACCTCATGACTAACACTAGCTGCGGATCTCGACCGAGGTGATTGCTCCCTTTGTTCCCATACGCCGGCGATGTCTGGGCATGTGCGATGTGATGGGCAAGGATAGTCAGCTGAGATATGTTGGAGCACGGGATGGGGGCTGGAGCATGCGGAGCGTGCATAGTGATGGTGCGATGTCGTACGTGAGAAGCCGGTGGCCGGTGGGGCCATATTGGACCCGGCACAGCTCATGCTTGCTATCAGTGAGCGATGACGAGCAGGCGCTCGCGGGCTTGGACGATGATTTGGTGTGCCTGAATTGATAATCGAGCCAGCCCTTGTCTGCTGCAGAGTATCCGAGGTGGACCCGGTGTCTGCTCCCTCCCTCATGATCCCTCAAACCCTTGGCTCGATTAGAGATCAGGAGATTCCCGATCCAGACGGCCAGATCGCGGCCAGCGCGGCCAGCGCGGCCAAATTCTCCCCCTACTTCTCCCACCCAAGCATCCAAAGGAGGGTGCAACAGGGTGCGGGATCAAATCAAAATTTTGCCATTGGTCTTGCCACTGCATGCCTTCCTCGCTGTGTAGCTGGGCCGCTGTCTCTGCCCACCTCTGGCATGCAGATACGGGCTGGGCTGTGCGCTGCATTAAGCCTACTTGTGGGCGGTGGCAGCGGCTGAGCGGCTGAGCGGCTGGGCGGCGTAGATCAGTCACCGCGACTGAACGCCCGACGGGGCTGACCTGAGACGCTGCGCACGCGCGCACGCGCACACTGAGACCTATCCAAGCTATGAGATCTGTGCCCAAGCTTGAACAGATTATGAATCTCGTTCTCGCCACTACTAAGGATCCGAAGCACGCTGTGACGAAATGAGTCGTAGGAGCTTGGTTGTAAGCCGATGCGCCGATGGGATATGGGATGGCGCACGCGCACATGGCGTGGATCGAGCCTCGCCAGCTTGCAAGCCAAGAGTACGAGACCTGAAGATGGGTGGGTGCCTGGACCTTGGCTGGCTGGACTGGGTGCGGGCCTGGCGGGTCTGGAGGTCTGGCGGGTGCAATATTGCCGAAAGGGGCAAGTAAGATTTGTGCAGCGACTTGGTGTTGCACCTGACCTTGGTCACCTTCGTCCCCTCCGTTGACATTCTCAGATATCGACATATCGACACCTCGCACCCTCACTTGGTCATCGAGCTACACACCATCCTTGCCGACTTCGTCACTCACTCTCCCGCTAGTCACCACCTCAACCCAGCGCATAGCATCTTCTCATCCTTCGCTTACTACCCCGCCGCCGCCGCCTCTCAGGTTATCACACACCGAGACACACACTCCACCTCCACCTGACTCAGCCCACACCCACACGACCGACGAACCGCAACCACCGGGCACCGTCATCAGCGATCCCCCCACCCGCTGATCGTCCCTGTCTACATTACCTTACCCCGCCGCCCATCGCAATCAAGTACACACACGTACACGCCTTCGCAGTTCGATTGTGCAGAGTTCGACGCCCTCTCCTTCGTCTTGCCCAGCACACTGCAACAGTATCACACTCCCGCCTCCCGCCCACGACCGATCCGAATCAGTGGCAGCTGCAATAGCAAGCGGCAAATTTCAGCACACCACCCTAACCAGCCATGCAACAGACCCCGGGCTGCCTCCCCATCCCCAACGGGGGTGTCACGAGACAACCAAGCTTCGGTGACCGGCAGTTCATGCTGAACGTGCAGGGGTGAGTACGATACGCGAGGGACTGCCGAAGATGCGGCCCGAGCTCCAGGAAGATGCACGGGAATCCCAAGGACAGCTCCGGGAGCACAGATTCCCAGGTGGGGTCCAGATATACTCCGAAGTCCTGGCATCCTGGCGCCTTCCTGGGAAGCTCCTGCTCCTCCGAACCCGTCGACAACCATGCTGACAGATCACAGGACACCCCCCGGCGGACCATCCGGCTCCCCGTCATCGAACCCGCACTCCGGCCTGCACCCTGCGTCCTACAATGCTCTGACGTTTAGCGCGCTCGCGCTCGGCGCCGCCGCTCCGGGGTCCTCCCCCTATTCCTCGTCTATGGCCATGTCCATCTCGCCGCCGCGGTGGGGACCGGGCTCGCTCACGGGCAGCCTCGGCGCGTCGGGTTTCGGCCTTAGGTCCGGGTTCGGCAGCATGGGCAGTGGACTGAGCGGGAGTGGCGGCGCGAGTGGGGCGAGCTTTGTGGGCTCCGTCGGCGGCACGCTTGGCACGTCCTTTGGGCGTCAGGCTGAGGGCCGTGAACGCGAGCTCGAGGCCAAGTACGTCAAGGACTTTACGTGCTGCGGACGACAACTGAGTGGCCTGCACGAGCTGCTTGAGCAGTAAGTATCCATTTAAATCAGCAAAGACGTCCCCCTGGTGACTGAGCTGACGGCAGCTACGAGGAGGAGCACGCTGGTCTCGCGGCCGACGTCCGCATGGCCGCCATCAATGCGGCGCAGACCAAGACGACAACGTTCGCCTCCAACATTGGCACGATGAGCTCCGACGTCCCCTCGACACCGGGCATGATGGACATGGATATGGACATGGACGAGCCGTCCGTGCTGAGCCGGCCGCCGGCGGTCGCCGCTCTGAGCCTCAACAGCTCCATTCCCGGCACGCTCCCCGGCACGCTGCCTGGCGGAATATCCTCTGCCTCGGCATCTCCCTGGAGCGCAGCCTTCCGGCCGAGTAACCTGCAGCCTCCGGCGTGCGTCCCGCCCAGCGTGCTGAGCTACCCGACGCCGCAACCGCAACCCGCCCCCGCGTCACCAGCACCCAAGCTATCGCAGGAGCAGCTGGCGGCCAAGGCGCTGAAGAAGGCGCAGAAGAAGGCGGCGCAGACGGCGACGCCGCCGAACGAGACGGAGAATGGGGACGCCACCAAAGACCAAACACCAGAGGAGAAGGGCGAGAAGCGCTTCCGGTGCCCGATCGAGGGATGCGGCAAGGTGTACAAGCAGGCCAATGGGCTCAAGTACCATCTCACCCGGAGTATCAACTCGGGTCACGGCAATGTTGCCGCTATGGGAGGATTGCTCTCCATGCTCGGCCAGGACGAGGACAAGTCATAGTCCTCCGCTGCGCCTGCTTGGTATTCCTCCGCGCTGCGCCTGCTTGGTATTCCTCCGCCCCTCTTATATCTGCTCTATAATCTCCTCTGCTCTCTTCTCGGCCCGCCACACCCGGCCCGTGACACCACCATAGATAGACCTCCTCGAGATTCCCCAGCGGACACTTGATTCAGTCCCGGCTTTATAGACACTTCTGTTCGGACACCGACAAAAACAACCCCCCTCCAAAAGGAGCAACTACCCCGCCGACTCTGTATGTCGCGGCAGCTCCATCCAAAAACAATCTCGTTTGTATCATCCCTGTTGTCTGTACTTTGATGCATTTACACTGGTCATATAACTTGGAGTGGTCACGCGAGCAAGGTCGACGGGTGGACCAAAATTGTTTCCAAAATTTCTGGAAAGACGTAAACAATCGATAGGCGGAGCGTGGTGGAAAAACCTCGGCGCAGCAGACGACAAAAAACGTCATGTGAGTGGTCCGCTGAGCTATCATCCGAGGTGTCGCCGAGCACAACTAAGACGGGCGTGGGAAGCTCTGCTTGCTCGGCGTGCTCTGCATAGAACTGAGAGATCCAGTTTAGGCCGGCCGTGATGGACAACAGAGGACAGAAGTCGGACACACATTATGTGATACAGAAAGAAACCGAATGCATGTACAGAAATATCGATCGATCAAGTCTAGTCGTCGTCCTCGTCCATTCCCTCGCCCTCTGCGTCGAGCTCCTTGCCCTCGACAAAGCCGGTGCCCTTGCTCCAGTGTGATCCGAGGTGGATCTTGAACTCCTGTAAGGTTAGCATGAGTGCGCGCAGGCGAGATAGAAAGAGAAAGAGAAGGACTCACGGCCATCTGGATAGCAAGCAGCTTCAGGATACGGCACTTCTCGGAGCTGAGCTTCTCGCCCTCCTTGCAGAGCACAGTCTCCTCGCGCAGGGACGGAACGCCCTTGACGAGGAGCGTGTCGAGGCCGAGCTGGCGAAGCTGCGGGTCCATTGAGTGGGGGAGGGGGTCGCCGCTCCCGTCCGCCGAGTACGGCGTAAGGAGGGGGCCCTTGGGGAGCGTGATGGTCTCAGTGGCAGGGTTGCCCTGGCGGGCATACTCCTTCTTGACCCAGGTGTCGAACCACTCCTTCGTGTCCTCGACGGGGTGCGACGTGAGGAACAGTCCGACGGGGCCCTTGAGCCGGCGGCCGAGCTGGCCCAGCCCCTCCTCGTACTCCGTCTCGTCGTTGATGCCGAGCGCCTTGGCCATGACGCGCGTCTTGCCGAAGAACATACGTCCAGTGCCGCGCCACTGCTGCCGGACCTCCTTCAGGCCCTCGTTCCGCATGTCGCCGACCGAGAACAGGAAGACGTGGTCGTACTCGTCGATCGCCTTTTGGATCTCGTTCACGAGCGCTGCCTTCGACGCCTTCGTCGTCCGGATCGGCGTCTTCGAGAGCGTCGTCACGCGCTGACGTTTTGACTTCGGCATGGTGTTGAGTGGTTAGGTTTGGGGGTGATGAGGGAGGTGTTGTTTGCGAGGAGTAGCTGATCTGCGCGCCCAGCCAGTCCGGACGGCATCCACCAGCCCGCCGAAATCTTCAGAAATCTGCACGGAACCAGATATCACCCCAGGTGACCTCCACCAGGCGGTGACCACCCAGGGAGCATACCGCAGGTGGCAAATTGCCCCCGCCCGCCCGCACACGTGAGGTCATCACCGCATGCACGCAGGGAAGGACTAAGGCCATCACCGTCATAGCCTGTTGATGGCCGCTGCCTTGCACCTTGCAACTTCCTCCGTACACCTCCGAGCGTGCTGTCAACAACCATCATTCACAGCAATCCAAGAATAAAGCGACGGTGACCATGTCCGCGAAAGAAGGTGCGTACTCTCCTCCCCCTTCCTTCTCATCTTCTCAGCTGTACAGCCGTTGATCACCCTAGCTGACACCAGTCCTCGCCAAGCTCGAGGGGTTCCCGCAGGACCTGTCCTCGCTCCATTTCTCGGGGGATGCGGCGGATGGCGTCGCCCTCGAGGGAAGTTTGGCACGTCTGGCAGCGGACAATCCGACCCCAGAAGCGCGCAACAGTATCGCCAGGCTGCGGCGGTGCTCACACCGACGCAGGCGACGGAGGAGATTGAACTCGCCTGGGCCGCGGACCATCCCGCAGACGACGAAGATAGGGACGCGCCAGCACGAGCGAAGGTTATCGAGCATGCGGTTAGGGGATTGCAGGAGGGAGGGTACGACCGGCGCGCGTGGCTGCGGTCTGCTGCGCTGGGACACCCGAGAGGGAGGGCGAGGGACGTTATCGTGAAATGGGGAACGGACAACTCGAGGTGAGCGCTAGCCCCGAGCACTCGCACTCCGCCGTTCTTGCTGTGCGCACGTTGTGAACTAGCTGACATCCAGGCCTTTCTCGACGTGTGCATTCCCGAGTATCAGCGCCGCTCGCTGCGTTTCGGCATCACCGAGGTGATCCAGAGCATTATCCTCTCGCAGCCATACAGTCCCGAGGCGCCGACACCCAACACGTTCATGTACCGCATGGCGGCGCACGAGTGCTTCAGTACGATCCTCAAGATGCTCCTCTTTGACACGTCGAACCAGCTCTTCCCCCTCGCGCTGTCAATGCTCGTCACGATCCTTCCCTTCTCCCTGCCGCTGTTAACAAAGCATGTCCCGACACTCATGGTCATCCTTGGACGAGCCGTGTCATGGCGCGACAGACCGTTCGTCGATGCCGGCCTGACGTCGCTGAGTGCAGTGACGCGGACACCGGAGCCGGCTCCCAACCAACACTGGGAGGTGTGCGCTGGTCGAGACAGCGAGATCCTCGCGCCGAACGCGACGGAGAAGCGTGTCGTTGAGCTCTTTCTCGTGTGCCTGTACGGCGCTTGGCCGTCGAACGTCATTGCCTTCACACGTAACCCCGAGGGATACCTGAACAGCAAGGGTGTCGAGGCGCTGTACGCCGTTCCGTGGAACGAGGTGTGGGAGGCGAACATCCTGTCGACCCGCCTTGTCCCGCTCATCAGTGACTTCCAGCTGCACCCCTCCATCATCACGTTCACTTCTGACGCAGAACTCGACGACGACTCGCGCCGCTGGGACAAGTGGGACCCATCCGAGTTCGTGTCCATGGCCCACCTCATGTCCCACGCTTCGGAACCGGATCAGATGTTTGACTTCTTCCGCGTGCCCGTGCCCGACAAGCCGTTGCCGACCGTCGAGATGAAGAGGGAGCAGTCCCTGCTCCCGGAAGAAGGGGGCGACGACATTGAGCGCCTGAAGGAGGAGAACGAGCTCCTCCGCCTCGAGGCGCTTTACGCTGAGCGGCTGCGCAAACAATTCGTCTACCGTAAGCTCTTTGATACTTGCACCAGCTGACATGAGACATTGGCCGTTTGCACCGCAACTCGCTCCGGTTTAACAGTGACGAGGCCGAGATCCACACTTTCGTGAACCGCGTCAAGGAGCAGACCAAGACGATCGCGGACCTGACTGCTGAGCTCAGTCATCAACGTGCCGAGAGCAGCCAGGCGCAGGCGAAGCACGTCAAGTGGCAGGAGCAGCTGCGTGACAAGGTGTCTTCCTTCCGCGAAGAGAGGCGTCAGTGGCAGACCGAGGGTACGGCGCTGAAGAGCGACATTGCCGAGCTCAAGAGCACGGTGCAGAAGCAGCGCGACGAGCTTGCCCAGGTCAAGAACGAGTGAGCTGTGGAAACCCCCTCGAAGCTGACCATACAGACGTTTCGCGCTCCAGAGCGAGCTGCTCGAGGCGATGCCCAAGATCAGGCACATTGAGGACTACGAGACGCGAATCAAGCAGTTGACGGACAGCCAGCTACTCTGGTGAGCTATGATGCTGGAACGAGCTGACATCAGGGACTCGGACGTGCAGAAACTGCGTGATGCCAAGGCTGCCGTCGAGACGTTCCAGTCTCGCTGCTTCGAGCTGGAGGGCATGCTGCGCGCGCGCGACCGCGTGTGCAGGGAACAAGCCGACCAGATCCGGCACCTCGAGAACCGCGTCGTCATCGCCAGCTCAACGGCAGGCACGCCGGCCAACGAGCGCGCCGAGAAGGAGAAGCCGGAGCGGCAGCCGCAGACGATGGACCGCGAGTTCTGCATGCACGTAGCGGAGAACGCGCGCCGCAAGGCCGAGAAGCTCGAGCGGGAGAACCTCGAGCTGACAGTCGAGCTGGAGCGGTTGAAGCGCATGGCCCTCCAGAGCGCTGCCGAGACGGGGACGGAGGAAGAGCCCCCCAAGGAGACAAAAGGAGGAGCGAGGCAGCTCCTCGGCGACTTGCTCTCGAGTTAGTAGTTCGAGGGAAGCATTCTGTACCATATACCTGTGTCATGTCATCATTATGTCCACATGTTGCATACACTCAAAGTCACACTCTCGTGATCTATTGGAACTCGCTCTAAACAAGAGGCTCATCACGCTTCCACGTCCATCTCCTGGCCCTTCTGCACGTGCTTCTCCTTCTCCTGTGCGCGGAGCTCATCGACCCTCTGTCGCAGCTCGCGGAGCTTCTTCCCCTGCGCCGCGCGCGTCTCGGCATGCCGTTCCCTCTCCCCCTCGATCTGGCTCTTCTCCCTCTCGATCAACTCCGCAACATCGCGCTCTTGCCGTCTGAGCGTGTCCTCCTGTTCCGGCGTGAGGATCTTGGGGAGGAAGTACAGCGCGCTGATGCCCTTGGCGCTCGCGACTGATGCACTGGGCAGAAGGTCGCCGGGGAAGAGCTGGTCGGGCTGGACAGCGTTCATGGCGTTTCGGGACGGATGCCGGGGTGCGGAAGAGGCGCCGAGACCGGCGCGAGAGAGGGGAGGCGAAGGCGTCGTGGAAAGGTATCCCTTGGCGGAGTCGAGGAGCTGGTGCCGCGCCTCGGCGGCGAGCTGGCGGTCGAGGAATGTATCGGCCGCCAGGGCGCTTTGGACGGCGCGCAGCTCGCGCTCAGCCGCTAGCAGGGCCGAGGACTGGATCGCATCCGTCTGCAGACGCGCTGCTATCCGTGATTGCGTCGCGGCACGGCGCTGGGCCTGGGGATGTCAGCTTGCCGCTTTACTTCTAGGGCAGCTGGCTGCACCACAGCAGCTCGAAGTGCAAATGGCCCGCTGCACTCGCTTTGCTTTTTACTCACCGCCTCGCTCTTCTTCGTCTTGCCCTCGTCGTCCTGGAACTTGCGCAGCGTGCCGAGGATATTCCCAAACATGCGCGCCGAGCGCTTGCCGTCGTCTATCCGCCGGCGCTTCTCCGGCTTCGGCTTCTCCTCCGCTTCTCCCTCCTCCTTTTCCTCCTGCTTCGTCTCGTCCTTCGAGTCGCCTTTCGACTCGTCCTTCATCTCGGCGTCGCCGCCGTCGAGCTCTTTCCGCTTCTTCGTGTCGGATCCGGCGTCGGGTTGCGATGGTGGCGGGGAAGCGGCGGCAGGCTTCATGTCGGCGTCTCCGGCGTTCGTGGGTGCGGGTGTCTCGCCCTCTTCACGTCTCGGGGAGGACATCGTGGTAGGTGAGTGATGGAGGATGTGGTAAGCTTGTAAGAGGGAGGAAGACCGAAATGTTGGGCGTGGTCGGCCTCCACTCTGGTGTCCAGTTCAAAGAGGGGAGATTTTGATTCCGCCGCGCGTTCATGACGCCGTAACCGGAGAAGACACTTTGTATGTGCGACTGTTCCCCCTCTTCAGCGTGCTCGTAACACGCCGGCGCGCACTCGCACCCCTGCTCTCCCATCTGTCGGTTGCTGAGCAATGTAACGATCAAGCTAGGAGGTGAAGACTGCGGAGCAGCCACCGAGGCTGAGTGGACTCGTGAGGAGATGGCGACAATGGTAGACTGGACCACGAAGTATCACCACACTAACCATGCCCACATGTCCACTCATCTCAGCTCACTTCCTCATGAACGTCCCACACTCATGGTTTTTATCAGTGGGAGAGCACCCACATGACGTTGTATCTGCCATCCTGGACGAACCGCCTTGCCCAGCACCGGGCCGGTCTCTGCGCTTGGGCATATCGAATGGGCCATCTGCCCTTTCATCTTGAGCCTGTGAGGCGGGGCGAGCTTGCTGTGGCGGCACAGCGTGCGAGCAAGCGATGACTTGTCGCCATAGCTGGATAGGCGACGTGGGGCGACTTAGGACAGGACGGGGTTTGTTCTGGCCGCGATCGACGAGCTGCCAGTATCTGCGATGGTGTCCGACAGATCAACTGACAGGATAGGAAGCAAGCTGCCACCGAATGCCAGTGCTTCCGGGATCGCCTGCTGGAAACTACAGACGCATGGGTGGAACGAACCGAGATTTTGGTGACGCAGGCCTGTCAAGAGGTACGTCTACTGTTGCGAGATTCCTGCGCTGATTCCAGGCCCAGTCCTGCCAGCCAGATCACGCTCGCCACCTGCTGCCCTCTCCTGCTGAAACGCCATCTACAGTACGACTCGCCCTGATCGTCTCATGTCGTCGGTCGATCAATGGCTACCGTTGGTGGAGAGGTGGAGCGCCAGAACTTCCCCACTCGGCGTTGGGCCGATACGCTACTGAGAACCCGTTTGACCCCGGGCGCTGAAGGCTCGAAAGCCAAATATACGGGGATTGCACGGGGGCCACCCTCACGACCGTGAAAGTCTCGCGGGATGGCGCGGCAGCCTTGCTCTACGTTATTGAAACTCCGCTGCAAGGACAGTTGCGCGGACGATACGTCCTCGGAGGCGCTGCCGCTCTCGGTTAGTCGCTGTCCCGCAGCTGCAGTTTCCGAGGTTGCCCTCCCTCAGAGAAGAGGCGTCACTTACGATTTTGAGTGTTCGTTTCCCATCTCTCCCAGTGGACTATGCACTCTGCCTATCGGCGTATCGCTGTCCTGCGCGCACGTAGCGGAGTTGTAAGCGTCCCATGATCTTGAGACCTTCTCCCACGCGACACAGTGTCCCGATAACCCAAGTCCGTCCGCCACCGCCGCCAGCGGGCTTCTGCGCGGCGCCGCGAGAGTTCTACAGAACGAATCTTGGGATGATAGCTCAGTTGGGAGAGCGCGAGAGTGAAGATACTCAATTCTTGAGGTCGGGCGTTCGATCCGCCCTCGTCCCATTGCTGTTCCTCTTCGGAGACGACGACGGAGCACGACTTTTTTGGAAGCTCACCGGCGAGCGAATAGGGGTGGCGGTGGCGGGGTCAGCAGGTTGAAAATCAACGGACGCCCAATAGGAGTGGATACTTCGTTCGAGCCTCGCAAATGTGCTGCTAGCGAATCTGATAGTTCGTGTTTGTGCATGAGTGTGCGCCGCACCCGCTCTCTGTAGCTCGGCACCACTGACGACCATTCGTGAATGCGCATCGGCATTGCTGTTGTGACAGGTTCGTACGGCGGTTGCGGAGGTTGCCGCCAACCAGGTACGAGAGTACCTTCCTACATGAAGGTGTCAGTCCGCGAATTCGTGCCCTCCGCGTTCGATGCGCCACACACTGGAAGACTCTGCAGTGGGACTTTCGCTGACGATCTCGATGATCTTCAGCCTCGCTGCACGGCCGGGCGGGAATGGGACGAAGCCACAGACGAGAAAAAGGAAGCCTCGTATGGGGCTCGAACCCATGACTGTGTGATCAATCGGCTTTACTGCGTAAGAGTCACACTATCTACCGACTGATATAACGAGGCTTGCGGGGAAAATTCTGGGCCGCCTATGAGGAGACTGCGAGCCAGATCGATCGCAGCCGACTGCAACAGCCTCCTACAGCGCAGAGGCTGCTTGTATCATGAGGGGAGCTTGTAGTATCCAGTCGCGGCCACTGAGAGGAGACATTGCGTCTGTAGCAGGGTAGCAATGTAGGAGCAAAGATCAACAGATCAGTTCGGGCGGGTGTACCGCCCATCTGGCACCTACTCCTTGGCCTCATTACCCTCGGCGCCTTGTCGGCGGCTTCCCTCATGATCGACTGATTGCCCTCCTCGGACCGCCCACTGATCCGTTGTGGACAGGGATCAGCCAAAAAGGTCCTTGAACAAGGGCCCTCTGTATCGAAGGAGGACAGGACTATGCCCCTCGTCATTCTCGTCCTGTAAGCGCATGTGGCGGAACAGCAATATCCACCAAAGTTTAGCTCGCCATAACCGAGGCAATGCCATTACCTACCCATAGCCAGGACTCCGGGCCCAGGAACGTTAATCTCGGTTCGAAGCGCTAAGAAAGCTTACTTCGGCGATTTTTCCTTGTTCTCGCAGATGGCAGCGACGCGCCCCGACTCTCAGTCGTTGATTCTCGCCGGTCGAGTTTCCAAGGCGCAGCCCCCGAACAATCAGAGCAAGATAGTACCGAGGTTGGCTAATGCTATGCACAGGCTCTCGGCGATCTGGCTTGAATAAGTTTCGGGTCAGAGAGAGGGGGGGAGAGACCCAGCTTCGAGTCGCGTCACAAGATCTGCTGGCGCTAACCAAAGGAGCACCGAGAGCCTCCATCGTGCAGGGGAGCGACGTCGGGTTTGGTTTAGTCAAGCGCTGTGGTTGCCGGCATACAGGCAGGCCTAGAGATCTCGGGCGCGTTACTCCGAGACCTCGTCCCTTGGATTGCACCGCCTCTCGGACATGCGCTTCGCCCGACACCGATTTCCGTCATGACCGAAGATCTTGAGCCCGATGCGGTAGTCGCGACCCGACAAAGGCATCGGGAGCCAATTACAAACGCGCTCACGACGCAGACTTTGGTATGCATGAATGGAGGCCGAAGGAATTCTGTTCGGCATCAGCTTCAGAAGATGTTACGTCAAATACCTCGTTACGAGGTTGACCTTCCGTTTATCGCCAGTAGTGCGAACCTTCTTGTCACTCACACTTCCATAAATCCTACTCCACCACCAGTAGTTGTTGAGAGTTGTGCAGTCGAAATAAAAGTCGTCGAAGTGGATTCGCATTTCCCTATAGCATTGAGGCTCGCTCCCGTGGCAATAGCTGCGTATGTGAAACGTCAGGCGTTAGCATGAGTTCAAAGATGTCTCGAACAGGAACTTGAGGCTCCAGCTCGCAAAGTACTTGAATTTACTCCAAGTCATCCTCCGTCGAGTATGGAGCATGCTCAAAGGCGCAAGGAGCTGGCGGATCTATCCAGATCCCGCCAACGCGTTCGCGATTTTGCATGCTGCTTTGCTGAGCCGGAGACGACCCGTTTGGACAGGCATGGAGAGTGACCGACAGAGGACGTCGCATGAAGAATCTCAGTCCACAACAGACAGCTGCACATTTCTGAATGAGCCCGGAACTGGCTTGTGTTTCCGGGTCTCTCGTCGGCAAATCCTCCGCACACTGGAGAATCGGCAGAGCCGCGACGTCTGGCCGAGAGGGCGAGTAACGGCACGCCAACCTCGATTGCTACTCAGATTAAGTGTTGAGACTGCGTACTCCAATTCCCAACTCTCTCCTGGAACCTATCCGTGCGCTTTAAGGCTTGCGGATGCCCACTCCGTGTCCCACCATGTCACGCTGACATCGGTAGCGCACCGCTGTTTCGTTTCTCCAGACTGGTCGCAGCGGCTTGGCCGCGGATAGAAGTTGCGACGTCATAGACCGCTCCCGAGGCCAACGTGGTCTCGTCTGAGAACGGCGCAACGTTGCATATCGAAGAGACGCGGCAACTTGATGTGATTCTGTTGAGAAATCGGGCCTATGGGGGATCTGAGTCCACGTCTACACGCGGCCAGCGGGATGTTTAGCGTTTAATATACGTGCCATCGATGGCCGCGGTGAAACATCGCTCACCCGCCAAGCACGCCAACCAACAGGCGCTTGTCCGAGATCGAAATTGCGTACGCCTGCGGAAGCGAACAAGACAAGTCACCTGCGAGGTAATTCACGGTCGCCCGTAATGGTCGCCCGTAATGGTCGCCCGTAATGGTCACCCTCGGCCAAGGCACATGTGACTCACCCCCTACTTTCGCATGTTCTACGGCAAAGACACCCTTCGAAGGCTCCCAGGAGTACGACTTGAGCCAGTCACAGCCCCGCAGTGGCTCGGTGGCTCCAGGTTAAACATCCGAGAAGGTCGGTCGTTCCTTGGCGGCACACTGAGACAAGCGTCGTAAGCTCCACCGGCCAATGATCAGAGCGATGTGGCAGCACGGTTTTACCGCTCCCGGTGGCAATACGCGCAGATGACGCACTTGCGTTGCTGAACGCTGTGGACGACCAAGAGCGCGGCAGCGTGGGAAACCGTCTCGAATGATGAGCCTCGCGCAACACGATGCGTGAGAAAAAAATTGAGCACTTTCCGGGTCAAAATCCCTACTGCTGCCAACCAGTAGCACCTGTTGAGGTTGCACCAAGAGATGTCGTGACCACAACCGTATACACGCGGACCTATGGGTCCACAATAATGCCCAGCAATTGCATCATTGTCCCTTTTTGTAACCGTGGTGGAGCTCATGGCGTACATGGGCCTCCTTTAGTCGTCGATGCAGGCGGTTGAGCCACCCGTAAGGCCCTGGCTCATGCGTGTCCTCGGGGTCTCTAATACGGTCAGGAAACTCGTGGGGCGTCCACGACTGCAAGGTGAATTACTGCGAAGTTGTTCCCGTGGACGTTCGTGGCGGGCTGGCTGGATATTTTATTATTTCCACTGGGTAAAATGATCCGAGGTACCCACTAAGTGTGAAGCTCGTCGCTTCTTGGTGACTATTGGGGGAGGAGCTGGCTCACTTGTGGCAATATGAGACCGATGGGATATGTTTAGCGGCAGAGAGCCTTCCGCTGTCGAAGCGCGATGGCGAAGGGGCCTCCATCGATGGTGCAGGTCCAACCAGCACACAGTGACTGTCACGTAGCCTCGCTCCCACGATGCATGTCGGGATGCCTATCCTCGAAAGATGGATCGGGGTGGCACATGGTGGTGGTGCGGATGAAGCCATGTCAGAGGGGCACTCATTGGGAATGCCACTTCAAGTGTTCTCGTCGGTAACTGCCTCAAAATCGAGCTGGGCGGAAGATAAGGGGCTCGAACTTAATACCCCATCATGGACAAGTAGAGTTGATTCCCGCGTTGTTCCTGGCAAATTAGCGCACATGTCCCTGCCCTTGCAGGGAGCTTGTTGCCGACAAACGTCACTCGACTCCGAGAGGCGGGGGTCGACGAGCCTTCAAGTCGCTGGGGCCCGCAGAGAAGGGGTCGGCTCATGGAGCAAGCAATGCACCGATCAGTGCCGAGGACAATCTCCCCGCGCGATGTTCTCACCCCCAAAACCGTATCCGTCTGCGCCGTGCACCAACGCTAGGACTAACAGTCTCACTGGGGGTCCGAGGCTTAGGGCGTTCCTTCTGCTCAGACTGCGCCGATCACGCCCCCGTTACTCGTCGCATGTCAGCGCCTATCTCGCTCGGCTCGCCACACGTTACGGTCGCGAGGCACACCGAGTGGGATACTAAAGATACCGGCCTGTAGTCAGTCACCCTCAGTATGTAGTTTTGCCGTAAGCTCCTCGTCGTAATACCATCTGATGGTCCTGCTGACAGTTGGAAGAGCCCTAGACCCCCCCATGCGGGTAACAGACAGGTTTGCTGTTCAGGACAAATTGGTGGCATCAGGTGCAGGGTGGAGTCGAGGCCGCTGAATTGGAGTGATATCTGCCGACTACTTGGGCCATTGGAAGGGCTGGCGGTCGCGATTGCCCATGAGCCGCACGAAGGTGGTGCAACCTGACGAGGCCACTCAAGGCCAGGCGTAAGCTTCAGTTGATGTCTTACCGTGAAACTAATTTTCCTGATAATTGGTCATCATACGCTGTCACCCCTGAAGCGTGGCGACCCTGGCTCTCTCTGATGGGCCCTCCAGCACTTCATCTTCCCCGCTCTTCTCATACCCTTGCGGTGCCTGGAGATCTACCCAATATTGTGGCCATGGCAGGAAAAGCCCATGGGAGCCCAGGGGCTCCCTCCTTGTGCACGAAACAATGGTATTCCAACCTTTAACTGGTTCCCCTCGAAGCCTACAGGCGTGCGGAGTACCGTCAGACCGCCTGGATGCTTAGGCTGAGCCCGGACAGGCGTGGTTGCGGTGTCCGCGCCCGTGCAGGACATAAGTGGCGCAAACCGGACAGCTTGGCCCTCGAGCGAAGCATTCGGCGAGAGAGATACAGACTATCCCCCATGTATCTTAGCGGCTCGCATGGACTGGGCGGTCGCCCTGGATCTGGGGAAGGTGCTCGACAGGAGAGCTCTATTAGCCCACTTCCGTGCAGAGCCAACAGTGGTCTACGGGCTGTGAAACTGTTTCCATTCGTTCCGATGTCAATTTTGAGATCCGAGCTTGTCCATGCACGGCGTGCTCTTTACGTTATGAATGACAGGTCCGGTGATTCGATCCAGATCGTGAGGTGGTTGCTGCTGCACGCGTCCACCTGCCATTGTCCCGAGACGCTGCCCAATGTCCCGAGAGGCTGCGTAGCGATAGCCGGTGTAGACGATGCTCCGATTCGACCAGGATAAGAAGCCAGTCAGTAGCTGGTTGGTCGGCAAATTTGGCCGGCGATACCCGGAAGATTCAGCAGCAAACCAGGTTGCTTGAAGATTGCGGCCAAGCTCGAGTGTTGGTGCAATTCACGATCAGTTCACGAGGTCGGACGTTCTGGGTATCAGCGCAGCCTGATCAAGGACTCCCGGATGACTCCATGCCTAACAACGCACAAGCGCCTGGTACTCACAACCAAAGGGTGACTTTCACGTATTGAGATCTGGGTGACTCCAGACCGGTATGTGGTGATTACGACATCGACACCCGATGGTTTCAAGTGAAGCTGCGCGACGAACTTGGATCGTCAGTCGTCGAGAGAAGGTGTGACTGGAACTTCCACAGCCTATCCTCGTTCCTCGCCCGCACTGTCAAACACGCATACTGACAGCGTCGTACTCGTCACGAACGTCGTACTTTCGAGGCTTGTAGTGACAGAAGACACCGCGTGTACTCGTCCTTCACGGTCCGAGTGGATTTGGCCTGGTAGGAATGACCAGGTGCATGAGAGTCTTAGCTAACACCCTGAAGGTCCGATCTGAAGGAGTACGTCTATAGACGGGCAAACGCACTTCTGATGCCAGGCGAGAGTTTAGACTTTGATGCGCTCGCAGGTGAGGCGGGTAGGAGGGCGTCTGAGTGCCACATTCGCAACACGCAGCCTTAGCGCGCGCGGCCGAGCACCGCGTGGTCCAGGTTTCCAGTGGTGACATTGCCTGAGTTATTCAGTTCAACGAGAGGTTTCGAAGTTAAGCATTCCACGGCAACGATGGACGGAGCCAATCGTAAGAGGACGAGAGGATAATTCGTACGTCGCAGTATCCATCGTGAAAGTGAGGCAACATGCCAAAATGCTGGCCCTACAACAATGAGAGGAAATCATGATTAACGTTGATCCGTTGAGGATCAGGGGGTAATAACGTGGCTGCTTGGGTAATGAATGCGTATGAATCAAATGCTGAGAGCGTCAACATTGGCGGTCGTGTATGCGTGGTAATGTCTGGGCGTGAGCTCCACTGACGTGAGAGAGCGGAAGATGAGTTCATAGACAACTACGCCTCGGCGAATGAGAGCGAGTTTCCTGCGACAAACGAGGCTAGAGTTGATTAGCCATCAGCGAGTGAACCTATGGGGGTGGGGAGGGATTGGGGGAGGCTTGCTGGCGTTCGTTCTGAATATCAGCCATCGCATTCTGAATGTCGCATCGGCGTACTTTTCGGGTGTTGAGCTTGTATCCCTGCAGCGCGAAGTGCTCTGCAAGCTCGGTAGGTTTTGGGAGGCCAGGGAAGCTGAATGTCAGTATCAAACATGGATAGTTGAGCGGGACATACTTGCGAGGAGAGTACACTCTGAAATCGTCGGATTGGGTATCCACGAGATGGGGAATCGGCCCTAGTTCTGGGTCGATTGCGCTCATGTCGTAGCACCGAAACTTGAGAGAATAACTGTCCCGTCAGCTTGCTGATCTCCGAGGCAAGAATTTATTACCTTCCCTCATGCCGAATGGAGAGGTCCTGTCATCGTCAGTCATGATCCGCTTCGCCCGCTAACTCACAGTGAAAAGAAACCAGAGACCAGCCTCTCCATCCATGGCAGCTACTCTGATACCCGCCACATGCAGACTGCCATAGAGATTGCGTCCCACAATGACACGTTTGTCGTCGCCGCGAGAGCGAACGCGAGACCCCCCTCTTGCTGATCGACTGCGATCAGACCCCTTAGACGATGATCGGGACGTCTGGGCTTGAGGGGGCGTTTTTGGCGCATTGTCTCGATTTCGGGCAGATGTGCCTTGACCAGGGGTTTCAGGATGTCTTGAGGTTGAAGCGCGCGGTAGATTCGCGGGCGAGGCTGCCCGCTGGCTGCCAGCACGCGCCCCAATCCTCTCTTCGTCACCCTCGATGTTCGACGAGGAGGTTGGCGACATAACTGTGGGTTCTGCTGCCCTTGTGGTCGGAGAGCTGCTTGGATCTCTAGCAGCTTTGGCTATCGTGCGAGGCGCTACCCGGGGAGGGTCTCCTCTGGGGTCGCAGAGTTCGGCCGCACACACAAGATTGCCAACCTCGATATCACTGTCTTGTTAGGGCCAATCAGGATGCGCACACTCACGTTGGGTCAACAAGCCTGCCGGTGCCCGTACCTTCCAAACCGTAGTCCAGCATCCAAAGCCGCACTATCGGGCTGGGGGCCAGCGGGCGGCGGTCTTTCTCAGTTTTCCGTCTTCCATGCACTGGTTGCTGAGCGACCTGCAACCAGAAACTTCATGCGTTAGAACCAGGTAGTGCCACGTTACTCACCTCATGAATCGCCCAGCGAAAATGCCGGACTTGATCTTCTTGATCGGGGTCCAGACGCCTTCCGGGCGGGGGTCGTACAGTCGAGCCGGTGCGGGTGGTCTGTGCTCCGTGCCACTATCATCTGCTCTCAGTGACGCGGACATGGCGCGGCATAAAGGTGACCTGCGCACCTGCGCCGCGCAGATCTAGTATGTTAGATCTGCGGGTGATGGTCTATCTCCTGTTGGAGATGTGATAAGAAGACCCGGAGTGGAGGAGTAGGGAAGGTAAGACACCCTAGGGTGTTTGATCGTCCGGGCGGTGGCTGTCGTGGCTTGTCCGAAGCAAGGCTGGACCTTCCGACGCGTGCAGCAACGAATCGAACTAGACTGCTTCCGAACGGTGGCTGAGAGGGTATAACAGACGAGCTGGGAGAGACCAGGTATGGTGTCACGGTGGTAGTATCGAATCGAGGGAAGGCGGTCGATAATCGTGTTTGTGCGCAGGGCCAGCCTGTCGCAGTGATGAAGGAGCACTGGCGTGTAGAGTGCGGCTGCAAGTGATGATGGGAAAGGAGGGGTAACAAGACAGCAAAGGAAAGGGGTATGTCGAAAAGCAAAGAAGACTGCTTAAGTCAGCGCGAAGGAAGGACAGAAGAAAGCAAGACGGATCGAAGACCGAGAAAGACGGCAAGGTGAAAGTCAACAGATGGTCGGCGAAATCGAGACTGCGAGGTCCAGCAGCGAGGGGCACAGACGCAGACCGCAGCTACAGACCACTACCCTAAGGGGCCAAAGGTCTCCGCACAGAGAATAGAATGCCAGGGCTGCTGCCACTTGGCTTACGTGTGGCCCCTCATCCGACCGCGAACCCTACTCCAACCGTTTGCCTGGCACAGACACCTCTGCAACTCTAACTCGCCTTTCCACCGGCTCGTTCACTACAGTACGCAAACGTTAACCCGTTGCTAGGTGGACAGATGGCGAGAGGTGCAGTCTCGGTACTACAGAGAACAGCCGGGCACGGCAGGTGTCGGAGGGTTTCAACCGACCGTCATAGGCGCAGTGACTACGCCCCAGCACTACGCCCCAGCAGCTTCGCCGAGAATTGCGAGAGCTCCCCTCAGGTCGTTACTGAAGTCGTTCCGAACTGGCGCGATGCAAACAGGTATTGATGTGACTGCTCTGCCCGAAAACGCTGCCCAGGGTCACTAATTGTTTCGGACAGCCCAGCCCTAGAGCGCGGTCTCCTGTGCCTTTGCTCCTGGGAGGTCGCACGAGATGTACAGACCAGTGGTCCTCAGCAGATCAAACGGCTTGAGGGGGACAGAGATGCCCGTGGACCACAGGGGGTGCTTACAAGGGCTAATGGCGTTGTCGCGGTGGGAGGTGGTTGAAACGAAGCGAAGTATGCGAATACTCGACCTACCAGGTTAAGGCTAATCTCCGACGAAATACCGATTACAAAATAGTCTTGACGGTCGCGGATAGGAACGAAGGGACGATATGCAGCTGTGAGCTGAAGGCGATTGGAAGAGAGGGGGGAAGGGGGATGAAAGGAGCCGAGCGATGAATATGTGCGTGAATTGTATATTCGCGGACCTGTCGGGAAAACCGACGTTGACGTCGTTGTTCGGTCGTATACAGAGTCGGTCGAAGTTAAATACAATCAATGGTGAAGAGGTGCTAGCAGATGAAGAGGAAGAGTGTAATATCAGAAGATCAAAACAAGATCATCGGCTGTTCAAGCTGATCATCGGCAAGTCGGTGCCGTCAGTGTCCCTCCCCGGTCTTAGCCTCGTGTACACCGAATGTGTCATTTCCTGATCATCTTCGTGTTAAACTTTGGGACGAAGATCCACGGTTACTCTGAAGCACTGGACACTCGCTGCTGACACCCTTCACGCGCTGCAAGCATCATCAAGAGGTGGGTCAGGTCGCATATTACCGCGAGCTAAGTGTCCGGTCTGAGGGATCTTCGAGAGGGCACGACGAGCGCGGGTTTGGGCGGAGCATCATGATAGGGGGGCTCAGGGAACTACTGACCCCTGGGACATTATCCTGAGTGGGGGGGTACCTGGTAGCACAAGATTTGGAGCCAATTGAACCAGGACAGGCCGATTGTCGCCCTGATATTCCAACGTAAATAGGGCTAAAAAGGGGTGGCCAAAGGGCTCAGAAGAGGGGCTGGCAAACCCTCTCGGAAGCCCGCTGCCCGTGGAGCCAGATAGTCACCCTTCATCTCAACATGTGGAACAGGGAATGACGATGTGTCTCTGCGTCCTTCATATGTCTGTCGGATCGGGCCCAAGACCAAAGGCTTCGGGTGAGTGACGAGGAACTGATACGGGCCGACGACCCGACACACCCTCTGGCCCCATCCCAGTGCGCGCACTGCCGTCAAAAGCACTCGGCCAGCACTCTTTCCACCGTCATGTGCTTTTAGACGGAGCACATTGGGAATTTGGAATACTGGAGGCCATCCAGTTGGTAATGAGCAAAGTGGCCGCGCGTAGGATGCGGGACGGGAGCCCTGTTAGTCTTATTGCTCACAGTCAGGTCTCAGGTATATCAGGAACCGCTCAATGCAACGTGCGGCGAACGCTGACAGGACTACGGCGGAGACTTTGTGCTTTGCGGTCGCTCGTGTCGTATACCCTCGACGTCCGAGACGCGACCAGAGGAGCCACTAGACGATGCACATGCTTTGTCCCGGCCGTCACGAGCGTGCCCAGTTGCTTGCCCATGATCCCCATGTTTGGTAATGCTCTGGCAATGCCAAGCGGAGTATGTACCGTTATAAGTGCACTTCGCGGTGTGGAGGCATCCCGTAGTCTATTCGCCTGTTCACCCAGAACCTCATGCTCTCCTTCCTAGTACACTTCGTCTTTCAAGGAGGATCAGTGGACAGGAACATTGATTGTACTGAGAGGCTCAGATGCACACAAGTTTCACGGGCTTTCCCACGATTCCGAGTCGTAGTTGCGCGTCCCCTGGGACCCACAGTCGAACGCTCCGACCGAATGATGAGACAAGCCTATGTCAGTGATGCATCAGCTCCGGATCAGTCGGATCAAGGGGAACGGCGGGCAATGCATGTTCTCGACTACAGAGATAGGCGCCACACAACGCGCAGGAATCCAGGGCAAAGCGAGCGGATTACGCGAAAGTGTCCTGTGCGCCTCCTACCTTCGATCCGCTAAATCCTTGTTTGATATCCTATGAGAAAGTGCGCCCCAGAGTGGAAATTGGCTCGCGTTGCGGAGTCCTGGTCGTGGGCTTCTGCTGTCTGCGCCTTCTTCGGCACTGGGCATCGGCAAAGGCCAATTACCCTTGTTGGTGACTGACCTAGTACCCTCGGAATCTCATTGGATGCGAAGATAGTGCGGAAGGTATCAGCGACTCACAGGAACGATACGGTGTTTACCATAAGTGACGCGAGATTGCGTTGGGGGCTCGGGCGAGCAATACACGAGGCGAAATGGCAGGTGTTTATGCCGTCCCTTGCATGTCTAAGCAACTGTGACGGACAGTCTCAGACCCAGTAATCCTCTCGTGCGTGTACACACGCGCGCGCTCCCCGGATTCGGGCTACGCATGACTGCAGAGCGCGATCGTGTGAGGTGGATGATAGAAGCACCCACGCAGCGGGGCCAGGTTCGCGCCTATTCTCCCTGTACTTCGGGCGTTGGCAAGACAATGATCACAGACCGCCTGGCATACAGACCCAAAATGCAAGCACCTCCTGCCGAAATACTGCCGTTCTCGCTGCACCGCAGCTACCAGGCGCAAGTTGGTCGTTGAGTCAAAACCCCTGGTGGGCGGGCGGTGTGTAATCACGGAGGAAGTCCGACAGTAGAGAGTCGAGTGATGGCCGAAGCAACGGTTGGGGTTGAGGCGCCTCGCGCTCGGCCGGCTGCCGGTCAACGGCGTACACACCACAGCAAAGCAGAATCAGCCGTGCCAACAGTTGGTCATCCTCATCTGATTTCTAGCCGTCTGTCCCAAGCGGCGCTCGGTGACAGATGGCTATCTAATAATACAGCACAAAGCTGTCTATGGATATCCCTGCCGCCGGCAATATCCAGGGCCAGGGCTTACCACACCCTGCTACTGTAACCCTTCCTTAACGACCCTTCAAGGCTGCTGCTGGCACGATCCTGACAAGGACGAAAACCCAGGTTGTCTGCGTGCAAGGAGTTGACAAGTCCAACATAGGAGACAGGAGGGCGTAGGTAACTGAGGAGAGAAGCGTTGAGACGCGCAACAGTCGGTTTTCATAGCTACCGAGACAGATCATTAAGCCTCAAGTGCCTTCCTCAAATCAAAGTTTTCGTACCTTCATATCCGAGTCGTGCTACGTCACTAAATCGTGCTTGGCTGCAGTGGTTGCGGAGCTGGTAGCTGGCATGATGCCGAACATGCAGCGCTGGGCGGAGGGAGGCGAGGTTGGATCCCATTCCTCGCCTCCTGTTATGTTACAACCACTGTCCGTCGTCCCCTCTGGCGTAGGCTCCACCGATCGCCCGTGCGTATGTAATGGGATGTTCGTCACCCCCTCGGCCGGCAGATTGACCTTTTTGCTGCTTTTAGGACCGGCATTAGCCCCGTGTTGGTCTGTTCCGTTCTCCCTTGAGACACAACCGCAGGGCAAGAGGCGAACCCGTTTCAGAGCTTTGCTTGATACCATAGCAATCGCGGGCGGCTATGACGCTGGCCCGTTACCAAACTCGATCTGTCTGGAAGACATGACCCAAGGTGAGCTAAGTTTATCACGGGCATCAGCTGAAGACCGTGCACATGGTTATTTCATCATTAAAGCCAAGCCCAAGGTTGTTCCCCACAGGGTGAGAGGTATTCGAACGACGTAATGTCCAAGCCCCAAACCTGATCTACGTTGCCAAAACGGTGGCTTTCGAGCTTCCGATGGCGGAGGATTAAGGTGGCAGCCTTACGGAATGTCTCAAAGTCTCCACCCATACCGTCAAAACGCGAACAGTCCCTTAAAGTGTATTTCTTGACACCTGGCTTGCCCTCCATGCATCAAACATCTGTTGGAAATTGTACAAGCATCTCAGACGGTACCTTTCGTCTCTAAAGAATCATCCGCATCACCACACATTGTAGACATGAACGGTGGACATCCTCCTAAAGTGCAAAGCCAA